CAGATAATATGAATTCTAATAATTAGTGTTTAGTATCAGAAGGGGTTTTGTGTAAATATTATAGTTAATTGAAGTTAAACCGCCATGGAAAATATGAAGGTACTGGAAAGCCGTTTCGTCTCTGTTATAGGACTCCTCAACAATGCGCATCCCGCCTCATGAGATTCGAACCCAAGATCTATCAGTCTATCTTCAATTGACTTATGATCACAACTATTAAAATTGTTTAGGTGAAAGGGGTTTTGTATAGGCTGATTAAATTTGTAAGTCACATTTATTAGAAATTGTATTTTTGTTGGAACACCATTGAAAATTAGAAAGCATTAGAAATCTTTTTTATTCTTCTACTTTTGTTGTCAGGACTTCAAGTTACGGCTTGTCTTGTGATGAACTTCAATGATTTCCATAATGTATGTACTATCCACTCCCAACGTCCTTCCTACATTTCCTTCATAGATGGAAGCTCGTTTGTTCTATGTCACAGTAAGTCTTTGCAGGTGTTGTCTGGCCAACGCATCTTTTATCTGTTGTATTCCGTGATACCCATCTGATGTAGAGGCTTTCATAAATTAGTCAACCATCAGAAGGGAGAGAGTAACCAGTTTCATTTGACGTCCATATATCTTCACTAGGGATACATTTGTCAAACGCCCTCCATCAATAACTTTTCAGCGTAGATCATCATAAGAACTTCGTATCATGTTGGTGATGTTTTCAGAGACACCACAATGTCACTTTTATGCGGTCATACTATCCATGTTGTCAAATGTTTTCTCATAATCAAGGAAGTTGATATATAGTGACAAGTTCCATTCAACTGAATGTTCAACAATGGTCTGTCATGTCGCCATTTGGTTTGTGCACGTTCGATCTTTAAAGAACCCAGCTTGTAGATTTCACCGACATATTTATTTGGCAAAGACAGTTACAATTCCAGTTACTAATTATTTCAATGTTTTATTTTATTGTATATGGGGAATTTCTCTTATGTTTTTACTCAGTTATGATATTTGTTCATTGTGTAATTTTATCTTAATTTATAATTATTTAAATCTAATTATTAATTATTGCAAGGAAAATCTGTTTATTCTACTCAATCTTAAATCAATGCTCGACTTCTCATCAGGGCTAGCAGTGAAATCAAGGACGCGCGTTTCGTCCTATTTAGGATTCGTCAGCTGGATGTACCTGTATCTGAGTTGATGTTCACTCTGGGACTCGAACCCAGTACCATTCGCTCCAAACGCCATCGCATTATCCACTCAGCTACTGAGTCCTGATAGCTACTTGCTTGTGCAATGGGGTGAATTTGAATTCACTTGGTATTGTTTGGCTTACTTACAAATAACTTGTGAATTAAGGTAATATCGAGGCATACGTACAGTATGCACATATACCAATAACAGACTGATCAATTCCAGTCTTAAACCTCAATGGGAAGATACAAACCAAACAATACCAAGTGAATTCATCTTCTCATAGTTTATCATTTAGTTAGATATAAGTTTCTAAGGGTAACATTCGATATTTATTGTTGTTTTATGGTATTAACAGTGGAAATACTACTCATGAACATTGTATAAAATAACTTCAACTATATCAGTTAGTAATTGAATGATTGCATAAATGATATGTAAATTGTATTGAAAAAACACACAATTAGAATAGGTAATGTTTATTCACTGTTTGAATGAGGAAACGAAAGAATAATTACAAAATATATTCGATTGTTTCAAATTATCTCACTATTTCTGATTATTGCAAACTTATTCAATCTTTCAGTCATTTTTATTTCCTTAGCAGTATTGATATTGTATAGGGAGAAATGAATTTATATCAAATTGTTGATACAGTTATGTAGATTCTACTCAAACACACCCATACACTGATACAAACGCACAAATATAACACAAGATATATAACGATTAGAACTTAACTGAACATACATACAGAAAAAATTAAGATATTTTTGGAGGAGTTTCGTTTTCTGTACTGAATTGCTTATTCGTGGAGATTTCATGATACTTTTGAACAACATTATCAGTATAAGCTTCAAGCAGAAGTAGGCTAGTCAAATTTCTCCCTATATGAATGACAGCTTGTTCTATTGACTTTGGTGTTGATTGGTTGCTATTGTTCCATGTCATATCATTGACAATGTTAATGTCTACATAACAAGCTGTTAGTCATATAGAGAGAAATTCGAATAGTGCCCTTCTATTTAAAGTTTATGCTAACGAATAGGTTGTTCACAAGAATAATGAAAGCCTCATAACTAAGTAATACATCTTAAAGAGTGAAACTGTATTAGTCATCCACTAGAGTTATAAATCTTCCTTCAATCACATTAAAATCGACAGTTAGATTATGCAAAATAAATAATCAAATATCAGGAAAAGGCAGATTTTTGTTCAACAGATTGCCATTCACTATAAACCGTACAGAAATTATAACATTGTACAATCTTCTACTGTCAAAGTTATAGCTATCATAGACATTGTCATCATGATCCGATGTGTGCTGGTAAAAGTAAATATGATTGGCCACTGAGCGAAAACTGCCATAGTTAGCTTACTGACTACTGAACTTATGAATTCCTTCCTACCATTGGTTTCTATTCCGAACTCCCTAAGTGTAATTGTATTGAATAAAGTAATGTTTAGTCTATACTCTGGTTTTCTATATTTGGCAATGAATATTTTATCTGCTAAATTTGATTTAGTCTGTATAGAGCGTATCGACTGAGCATCCAGTCTAGTAGTAGTATAATCTTGGTCATCGGTCGTATTACCGTATTTTAGTAGTATATCGTGGTAAAATGAAAATATTTTTGTTTTTCATTTAAATCACCTTTATTACCATTCAGCTTAAATGATCCTTAATTTTTAATATAGAAACAAGAGAGAACTAAAAATAGTTTCGTGTATTTTTGAGAAAACAAAACAAATATCTAACTGTTTCACTATAGATTATCGTTATTAACATATATGCCGCTACTCTCATGGGATGATCATAATGTACTCATTGATTATATTTATTACAATGGATAACAAAACCACTGTCGATTCTTTTATTGAAAACTTAAAAAACAGTACAAACGCAGATGTATCATTCATTGTTGCATTCATTGAGTTGGATACTTTTGAATATTGTAAACAACGTTATCAGGCAAAAACGATGAAAATAGAAGCAAACTAATGAAAATAATTTATAGTTCAAGTGAATCATCTCGATGTTATTGTGTCAGCTGAGTTCGATGGTTTAATTATGAAGCTTTCGTTGTTATTCTGAATAACATTAACATTGTTTAATTTATGCATATGTGAAATTTGTATTGATCATGAAATATAACTGGGTTCGAATCCCGCAAGGCAAGATCGTGGATGCACACTGCTGGGGAGTCCCACAATACGACGAAACGGCCATCCAGTGTGCTTCCAGGTTTTCCATGGTGATCTAGCTTCAATTAACTCATGACCCCAACTATTGAAATTACTACAATCTCCAAATAACCCCATCTGATGCTAAACAACATATGCTCACTAGAGACTGGCTTCAAGATGCATATCCTGGAGTTCTAATGAGAAGTAGTGACCAGTGGAGTTCAACCGGTCCTAATGTGAGGTAGTAACTCACTGATCGCAATGGTGGATGTGTCACTCAATTTTTTGGATTATTTGAAGTTAGACATTAACATCGTTGGATGCTGGCCGGCTCAGTAGTCCAGTGGTTAAGCGCTCGCTCATGAGTCTGATATGTCCTGGGTTCGAACACTGCGAGGCGGGATCTTGTATGCGCACTGCTGAGGAGTCCCACAATAGGATGAAACGGCCGTCCAGTACTTCCAGGTTTTCCATGGTGGTCTAGCTTTAATTAACTCATCATCTCAACTGAGATAAATTTTAATTGAAGAAAACATTAATAATATTGTCCAGGATAACAGTAGAGGTCCAACAGCTCAATTATTTAGCTGAAACATTTTAACAGAATCTAGAGTAGAGAGGTGTTACAATGTCTCTATACGTAATTTACATCTGCTTAGCTGTAATCACAAAATGGTGTATTCATCCTTGTTTGTGTGTTTTTTACTAGCCGTAAACCAATTCATGACTGCATAATTAATTGCCCTTTTTCTAATTAATTTAAATATAAAGTTCATCTTGGGACATTTACTGATTATTGAGTGATTCGGAGGCAAAGTTTTTAAAAACCTTATTATCACTTGTGCTGAATTCGATCAATTTTGGCTTATTTTGAGTAAACTGTAAGAAGCGAAAGTAATTTTTACACTAAACAACAAATAAATTGACGAGCTATCTCTTTACTGAACCTGGGTAGATCGCATCAAACTCAAAAATAATCTAATTAAAAAAGGTAACATCAATCTATGAAGTCATCAATTGTTGAACTGAGCCGTGTCTGAAGATTCACACTATTAGGTCCACACAACAATTGTAATTAGTTATTGTAGACATTTAGTAAGAAATTTCCAGATTGTTATCACATAAATTGAAAGCTTCATACCTATTGAGTTCAACCAGCTATCACTCATAACAAGAAGATAAAGTGACCAAGTTTAACTTGGAATTTTTAAAAAAATATAGCGTTGTTAATTAAAACTTGGTAACCATACAAGAAAAAGGATAAAGTTACTATAAGATTTTAATATCATTGAACTGACGTTACAACTCCACCTGGACTCCCTCCGGGGGCTACTGCCGGTCCCAAGCCCGGATAAAGGAGGAGGGTTGGGCAAGGGGTTAGCAACCCAATCCCGTAGAAAACTAAATCGCTAAAAAACGCTAACCAGAAGAAACATTATTCAATTAAGAACTGACGTTACACTTTAAATGATGAAAGGTTGTTCAGTATCTATTGTTAATGGTGACGTTGAAAAACTTTTAAATAATATATATATACATATATATATATATATATATATATATATATATATATATATATATATATATATATATATATATATATATATAATTACTTACAGAGAATCTTTTTTCAATCGTTTGAATTGTTCACGAACACCAAGTAAACAACCATCTTTACCACCTTCATTAGATGAGTGCGGTATCCAAGTTTCATAATCATCAGATGTGCCTACAAAACACAGGGATTTTATTAAATAAATGTATACAAATTGAAACTAGCACAGTTTATTTCTGTAGTCAAAATGCATTAAAATCTTTTTTTTTTTTTGATGATCGAATATTGATTTATCATAGTAGTTGCTTTTTCAAATCTGTTTATGTTGAAATTCACTGATATGTTGTCAAATATCTATGAGTCCTGCTGACCTCTTGTACACAAACCGCTGAGACAATTAAAAGACACAAAAATTCTAACAGGATACAATTAGATGTATCGATTAAGATCGATCAAACAAACTAACCTGATCATTTGAAAAAAATAGTGTTGGCGAATGTTATGAAAACCATAACATTCAGAATAGTAATACATTGATATAAACAAACAGTTAGTTAAGAACGGATAAAAAGTTTGAAATATCATATAACGATCATTAAATTGGATCTTAAGGAGAAAGTTAAAAGTGGATCCAATATATAACATTGTCTAACATTATAATAAAATCTCCAGGAATTGATGTTACTGTCTATTGTTTTCTTTTTCATCTATCTTAACAAAAGTCAGACATAAATCATTTTTTAAATTGAGATCATGAACCGATTGATGTTAGACCACCATTGAAAACCTGGAAGGACTGGACGGCCGTTTCGTCCTATTGTATGACTCCTCAGCAGTGCACATCCACGATCCCACTCAAGGGATTCGAACCCAGGGCCTTCAGTTTAACATCAATCGGTTCATGATCTCAACCATAAACTTAACAATCTCCACAACCTCTTTACTGATAATAAATCATTTTGTCCATCATTAATAATAGTAGTATATTTCATATTTGGCACTACTTTACATGTCAATCATTATATTTGTAAATAGATATTCAGTAGACAATTGATAATGGAAATAGTAATTGGTGTATATATACACATATACTGTATATGTTGTTTAATATTTTAATCTTTTATTTTTGTTTGTTAAATACATTTGTACCTTCTGGAAAAAAATTTGAAATTCAACATTGATTGTAGTTATGCTATCAATTTACATTCTTTGGATTTGAACACAAATTGAATATTGTGTATACGATTCCCTGGTATACCTGAGGGTGTTGAGAGTTAGCTCTCCTTCTCGAAATGATCTCACATGGTCACGGGTATACAGCCACTGATATGGAAGTCCTATTCACTGCCTTTTCTCAGCGGTTGTGTTGTTTACGAAATTGAGAGGACGAAAAGTGAATGTCTGGAGCTTTAACCGGCTCGATGGATATGGAGAATCCACCTAGGGAAGCTGGAAAATCCTGATTCCAAACCAATGGTTCACATGGGCTTCAGGATCCTGAAGGAAAAAATGGCGTATGAACCTATTGTTGGTCACATGCCACCATTGAACTGCTCCCCTGACTTGTGGATCGGACCTTTAAGTCGAAGGCTTCGATCAAGACACTCGGGACAATATCAAAGCCCACTCACAAATCAAGTATGTGTGTTAGTAAGATTATTATAATAACTAAATTCATCTCAAATACAAGTTTGCGCATAAACCATTTAAACTAGGCATACTTTAATTATGTATAACGGATAGTCTAAAGTGAGGCAACTAAAAACACAGAATATTATAATGTCAAGATGAATAGCATTGACATTAAATGTTGGTACCACTGGATCTCGACGTTTTTAAACTTAGTAGACATTGTTGAATAAGACTATATTCAAGTGCCTATAATACATACATCATCATTTGGTATGATGAAGGATCATAGATGCATCAAATAATTTACTATTTTTACTGAGTACTCTACGCCTAACCTCAGTATATAGCACAATTGTCGGTTTGACTGCATATAAGAAATGCTTTAAAGATATTTTCTAATCCAAATTAACTACTTATATATTTTTGAATCAAATTTCATGTTCCAAGGGTGTGAAGTGTTCCACGGAGGGTTGTTGAACAGTTGATTGCTTTTTGTTAAGTAGAGGTAGGATATGAACATATCAGCTGTAAAGTGAGGTAGTCCGATTATGGTTTCATAATGATTAATCAGTGATCCCACCATTTGATATAGAAACCTCAGTGAGACTATAATTTATGGATGACCATTGAGTGATAATAGTGACCCGAAGAAATTTCAACCACTTACTTGGGTCAAAAGAACGTTATAAATTACTGTGAGGAATTAGGATAAGGATTCAGAGTTACAAGTTGGGTTTAGGGTTTTCACCACGAATTGACATAACTTAAAATGTCAAAATGATATTAACACGTATAAATGAAGGAATTTCGCGCCAAAATGCAAGACTTGCTATCTTGAACTTCATTAGTTCGTCCATGAATTACAGTCCCATTAAAACTTCTTTGAAGAAAACTTATTTCATAAGTCTTTGAAACTGAAGAAAACATGAATAGATTTAATGACACCCAAGTCAACTGAATTCACTGTGTTATTGATAAATAAATTCGATGAAGGTAATAATGTTTACTATCCAGATTAGAGTTCTTTTCCATAATCATTATTACTGTTACCACCTCTAACAATCTGTGATTTAACCTGAACATTTTTATCTCCCTATGCTAATGAAAGAAAATAACATGAATCGAACTGGCTGACTTAATAATGAGGTCAAACGTTTGTTTTGCTGATCCTTTTATTCAATATAACTGTACGTTGTATAAATAACTATTTGATAAGCAGTCTTCAATACACTTAATGCTTGTTTTCATTGCTCTTACTCAAACCAATATCAATGGAACCAAAATGAATGAAAAAAACAACAACACAACAGAAGACAGTTCTTTAACCGTTTATCTTTGAGCAGCTATTTATCGCAGATTAAATTAACATATAAAATCAAACAGAATTGAAAAGTTATTTCATTAGCATGTCAATCCGTAACGAATATCATCTATGTGTTGAAATAATTTTCACAATATCCTTACTTTTAAATTAAGATGATCAGCTCACTGGTGACTTTATTAGAGATTAATTGTTAAAGTTCTAGTTCTGACTAGTAGAGTTCAAGTATGTTCAAGGTGAAAAAATCATTGTTAGACTGCAAATTGAATGACATTAAAAATTTTCACAGATTGAAATCATGAGTCAATTGAAGCTAGACCACCATTGAAAACCTGGAAGCACTGGACGGCCGTTTCGTCTTAGTATGGGACTCCTTAGCAGTGCGCATCCCGCACCACTGCTGAGGAGTCCCATATTAAGACGAAACGGCCGTCCAGTGCTTCCAGGTTTTCAATGGTGGTCTAGCTTCAATTGACTCATGATTTCAATCTGTGGAAATTTCTAAAATCTCCACAAACCCGTTCTGACATTAAAAATGTTTATCATTGAAGGAAAACAAATGGTATGAATAGTTTACTGTTAGTACCTTGTAAGATTCACTGATGCGTACTACTGAAAAGTGCTACATTTTTATTTTCAAATGAACCTTAACTACAGTTATATAGCTTTTTGTTTTGTCAGTGTGAAATTTTCCAGTATTTCCAGTAAATATTGTCATTTCATTTTATTTGTGTATGGGCTGTGATACTGCCCGGGTTCCCAGACCGGGGGGTCACACCCGGGGCCTTTGACCTAAAGGTCTGATCCACAAGGCAGTGGAGAATCGTGGGGAGATTCAGTCCCATGGTGACCGGTGACCAACAATTAGTCCTCTCAATTTCGTAAAGAACGCGTCCACCGAGAGAAGGCAGTGAATAGGACTTCCGTGTCGGTGGCTGTTTACCCGTGACCATATGAGATCATTTTGAGATGGAGAGCTAACTCTCTCCCCCGTTGGCCGTACCGGGGCATTTGGGGAGCATAATTTAAACAGAGAAAATTTATATTAAAAATTATTTACAGTTAAGATACTTCATATAATAAATAAACATCAATTTATTAAGTTCATAGGTATCAATGTCAAAGTTGAATTGATAGTTTTAAAATTATATTTCTGACGTTTTGCGACTTCATATAAGTCACTTCTTTAGAGTAAATAAACTCTGGAAAAGTGACTTACATTAGGTCATTAAACGCCAGAAATACAACTTTTCTATTCATTAAGACATGACATGAAATATACCTATTACCAATTAAAATAATTCGACAAAAACTACAAAGTAGTTCTTCAGGTCTACTTTGGGATTCCTTAACATTAAGTACTCAACCAGAGATTTAGCCAAGTATTGTCAGGTCCCACAGTGAGCACATTACAATTATACCAACAATAATGGATACTGTAATAAAACTATCTAGCTAAAGAATTAAACAAGTCTAAAGATATAATTTAAAAATACGTATATAAAATTAAATAAAATTAAACACTCAACGTTTTTGGTACAGTGTAAACTGGTTGTGAAGTAATGAGTGTACACTATTATTAATGGAGGTCCTACCGTGTCAGACAGGTCGGTTGAAGAGCGGTAAGACAAAAAGCAACAAACCCAAGGTCTGAAGGCGAAGTCGTACTGCTGACTGTAAAGAGGTGTTGCGGCAGTAAAGTGTTTCCTTCAGTCAACCAGCATAACAGCGATCCTACCTTCCCACAAGGAGGGGTGGGGTTAGAAAAGGTGGACCATAAAAATACAAATCTCGCTTTATGCCACAGATATCCGTCTCCGGCGGTAAGGTCTCAACAAGTACGGAGCTAACACAAAAGTTACCCATAAAAAGGTTGTGTGTGACCGACCAGAAGCACTTGTCCCTTGGGCACAGCGGTCACCCTCTCAGGCCACTAAGACCACCTCTAATCCAATTTACTTTTCAGGTACGTCCAGAAGGACCCTTCCACGGTGTGGACAACCGGGAAGTGATAACCGCCCTCATACCTCTAACAGCACTCGAGACTCCTGACTACGATAAAACATTTGCTTTACTCCATAATTTATGTTCAAAGTACGGATTAATGCATCAGCCTTAATTTACACTAATTAAAAAGTGACTTATGTAATTACTTGACTGATAAAGAATAATAACCTGAAACTAGATTTGAACTTGAGATTTATTGTTTAAGTTGGATCCA